AAGTGTAGTAAAAGCCTAAAATTCTGTATAATTAATGAGCATCAGACCCACGTGACCACAGAGCTAGCTCCGTGGAAAGGTCTCAGTAGAGCCTCGGTCTGGCCTGAAAACTGTTCGGTTATTTTCAGTCTCTCAACTTAGACCATTAATTGTGCAGTTTGTGTATTCTTTTTTGGATATTTTTTGTGCAATTGTTGGACAAAATGACTTGCTGTGGCATTAATTGCACTAATAGAGCGTCCAAGGAGTCTCCACTTCATTTTTTCGGTAAGTAAAATTATATTCATGTATTTTAGGTCACTGCCGAGCTGAGCTTAGATTTTAACATGTACTGTTTAACCATGAAATTTAAATGTAATAGTGTAAAACCCAGTGCATTTAACATAATGCTGTACTTTAGAAAATAGGTTGAAATATAACATGTTGGTGGAGCTGGGTTCCGACTATCGGCTTGTGGAGCTCTCGGGAGACCGATGTTTTCCACCCGGTTCTCCCCTCCCCGCAGCTCGGCGCATCACTGATCGCGGCTTCTGTCTGCTGCGCGGGCTGACGGCTTGTGGAGCTCTGGAATGGAAACCTTTCCACCCAGTTCTCCCCAGCGGCAGCTCTGCGCATCTCAGATCGCAGCGGCGCTTGTCTGCTGTGCGGCTGCCAGCTTGTGGAGGTCTCGGAGACCTCTGTGTTCCACCCGGTTTTACCCAGCGGTCAGCCCGGCGTATCTCTGACTCAGAAGCTCTGGTGTTGTGCACAGTTAACTCCGGTTGTAGCTAGGTTGCTACCTCCGTTAGCTTAGCTCCCACCTCCGCGTTAGCTTTGGGTTAGCTTGTAGCTAGTTCGAAAGGGTGTCATCAGTTGATCCCAGCCTTACAGCCCCACCCTCAGCTCCACCTCTCTTCCCTTTTGTGGAATTGTCTGGGCTTGACGGAACCTGTGACACGGTCAAAATGGCGGTGGTGGCCACCTCCCATTTTTCTTCAAAAATGTGTTTTTGGAGCCTATGGAAATGAATTGTCCAGTATATATGTCGATGTTTGACTGTAAAATGTTTTAGCTTGCTGCGTGGTTGGCTGCACTAACAGACAAGGATTTAAACTCAACTCGTTTTGTTGTTTTAATAGCTTTAATGGAGACTGAGGACGGAGACGAACTGCAGCAATCAATCAATCAATCAAGTGGACTAAGCCCTCAGATTTGCAGCGAACATGTTTTTACCGGGTAAGATTAATGCTCATTTATTTCACAAGGAAGACAGGGATAAATGTGATGTGTTTATACAAGTTATTGATAATCCTGATGGATGGGTATTTCACCCTGGAGGATGTGCGCCGTCCACTGTAGTGTAAAGCGAGACAATTATTAACAATATTAAAGCTCCGATGTATGATTACGTGTGTTAAAATTATGTTATTTATTTATATGAGCGTCGGCGTTCAGAGATCTTCTCATTCCGGTCTGAGAGCAGCAGCTGAACCCGGTAAGACCACCAGCAAAAGAAGCTGGTAGAGATCTGGACTTTTTAAAAATCAGCTTTGGTGTAAAGTAAAACGCTGTTTATAACATAATGTTATAAATCCAGTGGGGTGAATTTAGGCAAAGTCAGCAACATGTTTACATCAGTGAACAGCTGCAGAGAGAACGTAAGCTAACGTTCGTAAGCTAGTTAACATACCGCTCTCTATGAGCCCCCGCTAGATGCGCTACTTCTTCTGATAACTGAACATGAACTAGTTGAAGGAATGCTGGAGGAGTTTTGTTTTTGTTTTTGATCGCAAAACAATTTCAGGCTCTACTTTTCCCTTTGTTTAGTACTCGTGTCGCTCACTGTTTACATGCTTTTGCCGTCCACCATGGTGGACCCACGTGATTAGGTGACGTCGGTGCAAAGGGTCAACATGGATGTTATTTTAACTGCAGTTGCAGCGTTGCACCACTACAGGGGCGCTGTATCAGCAGCGGTGCACCGAAAAGCACTAAAACCACTGCAGACAAATGTCAGAAATAGCTTTTCTTGCTAGTTACATATCTATGGTTGGTGCTATTGACGTCCTGATTTTCCCCCAGGCTCTTCCATATCAGAGCAGGGCTGTACAGTGCGACGAAAATAAAAATGTCTGTGCGTGTCTGTCTATTTGTAGCACTGGTGCAACATCTTTGAACTACTATTTTCCCCAGAACTTTATTGAACAAAAGTAAGTCACGTGTAAGAAAAATGCTTTTTACTGGCGCACAGTGTGGTAATCTGGATGCAGTGGACGAAAATACAGGAACCAGCAAAGGCACATTGGCAGAACCGGTCCAAAGTTTGGGATCAAAAGTGCAGCTACACGCAGTTTGGCTAAAGCTAAAGGGTAGCAATCTCACGATCAATTGGCGCACAAAAAAAAAAAAATATGATGATCGTAAAACTAAGAAAGACTAAACTCTATAGCGGATGAAAAGCCCCCACCATCCTGTTTATTCTGCATCCTGCAGCGCTACGGATCAGAACCGCTGCAGATACGAGTCACATTACTGCTACAAGTCTGCTCCACACACAGGAGCAGGAAGTATGGAAAGTCGTTGAAGAATATAGGTTCCGCTCAGCTACTCCACCGGGCCGTTCGGAGTACCTGCTCAGAAGGTTCCTGAAAACGGCCTGAAAAACGGCCGTTCGGACGGCCCGGTCAGGTGGAAGCACACGCATGTCGGGAGGTTCCTGTAAATCTACCCTGACGTTCTTGTGGTGGAAATACTGCTGTTGTGTCCTTGGGCAAGACACATAACCCGCCTTGCCTCCTGGTGGTGGTCGGGAGGAACGGTGGTGCCAGTGTTCGGGAGGCCTCGCTTCCATCAGCACACCCCAGAGCAGCCGTAGCTACATTGTAGCTCATCATCACCGGTGTGTGAATGGGTGAATGAATGATTGTGTTGTGAAGTGCCATTCACCTGGGTCCTCCACTCATTACAGGCTTGCACATTCAGCAACAGAACACCACTGGTGAGAGTTTCTCTGCTCAAAAATATCAGAGTAGAAGAAACAGTCGGCTGCTACCACTTGAGCTTTAGGAGAAACTACCAGAGTCCCAAAAAGAAAAACACCATTTGAAGTCACGGACAACGAAGGACGTTTGAACATAGAAAAGTGGAACTGGTGTTTTGTGCTCTCTTGTTTACTCTGGCAATGTGTGTTCTGGTATCGGACAGAAGTGGCCTAAGGATGACCCAAACGAGATGGGTGAGTGTTCTGCGACTGTGTTTGTGTTCAAAGGCTAGCTTGTTTTGCAGATTTGCCATTGCAATTTTAAGATAAAAAGTAAAAAAAGTAGAGATCAGAGTGGTAAGTTAATGTGCAAAGCTACCTTCTATGTTTTAGTTTAAGTGCTACCTTTGTTTTATGCCGCTTGTGGTGAGACTGAGGTCAGTAGTCACCTCTGGGTCTAGACGGAGGCTGCCATCATCACTTTGTGTCTGAGAGGAGGCCGACAAAGACACAAGCTGGCAGTGAAGCTGCATCTATCTACATACTAACATTGTCAGGAGGTAAACTGGTCAGTCAGTATATAACTAAATATATCTGTTAACTGCTACACTGTAAAAAACAAATAAAACTACGCTGTAAAAATAACTAACCATAAAATAGGGGTGTGTAGT